CTGGGGTCCCCGCACATGCTCAGGGCAGCTGGCTGCCTTTGCAGTTGGCTCTGTTCTAGAGCCAGGCACTGTAATCCCTCTCTATTGTGAAAAGAGCACACTTGCACTTCCAAAAGCTTTTTTTTTTATGCCCCTGCTGTACCCAGTAGGAGCAAGATTCCAAGGACTCAAGAAAGAGTTTTCATCACTTTTTGAATCAGAACAAAAAAATAAATTTTGTGAATAAAAATATTTACATGTAATGATTATATGTAATAATATATATATTTAAAATATATATATGTATTTAAAATCAACCTTGTATTGTAGAAAGCACTTTTAATATCTTCAATGATGTTATTGCTTTTGTTTGGACCTGGTACCAGGCTTTTCTTTTATTTCTCAGGTGAATAATCTTATTCTCTGTGGATATCAGTGCCCATCTTCCCTTTGATTCCCATTGCTCTGCTGCCTTGCCGAATATTTATTCCAAGGCTGACAGCCTCCATATAGTGCTAAGTAACCCCAGTGCCAACACAGAAGTACTGTACTGGTTACTTTTTCACTGAAAATGCTCTTGAAGTACAGTTTAAGAAGCTTCATCGCACAACTTTCAAACAACATCTCACTGTATCAGTAGTATGTTTACAGTGTTCTGCACAAAGGTCTTTCAGCAGGGGGGCATAGATAAGAGTGTGTCAATGGCTGAGAGGTCATTTTTACACAAAACTGTGGGAAGGATGAAGAGAATAGGGCTTTGTGGAAAAAGTACTTCTACAAATATTAGTTTTAATCTATAATTTATTTTGACACTTTAAACTATAAAATGTTGATATTTAAATTTCACATTGTAGAGTTTTGTAGATTCCTGTTCCCCACCTGGCTTCTCTCAAATGTTCCTCTGCATTTTCATGATTTCCTCTCATTTAGGGCTCTGAATGTAGAGAGATTCTCCTGGATTTTGGTGCTGGCAGATACACAACTTTGATGGGGCAGAGGTTTAGTTAACCTGACTGCAAGTCTCTCAAATGTGCAATCTATCTGGTTACCTCAGAACATTGGTTGAGAATTATTTTTCCTCCTCTTTCACATTTCCACCCTAAGAGACCATCAGAGTTGTGAAAATCAGTGTTGTAATATTAAGCATTACGTGATGTTACTACATGCAGTTATCTTAGTTCTCATTGCCAAACACCATTTACAAAATCGAACATGAATGTGAAGGTCTTTCTTCCCTAAAATGTCCTCAATATACATGGAGATGTAAAAGGTCTTTGTAAAGCCAAAGTTCATTCACTTGCATCAACCATAAACTGTAAGACTTCGCGGGAGCCTGTTCTGCCAAAAACAAATTAAATATACTCGTAGTTTATCCTTACTTATGATTTTGCTTTTTCTTGGCCAGCTGCATAAAAGTGGGCCAGCAAGTGGGTATCTAAATCAACAATTCTTTACTTTTAATAGTTGCACAGGCTGAGAAAAATCAAGAGAGAATTTGATTCCTAGTTTTTGAGCTACACTCTTGTCAATGGTCTTCACATAGCAGGTTTATGAAGCAGCTCTTC